TAATGTTTCAATTTTTTTTATAAAAAAACTAGAGTTTGAAAAAAAAAAAAAGACTTGTCAATATAAAAATAAGATATCGAGATCGAATGAATTTGCTTCTCCAGAGTATTCAAAGCCCAGCCGCTACTATCAGTTTTGAAATCCACCCTGGTCGAACAGATTAACATGAAACCCGACTAATTCAATATTAAAATTGGTTTGAATTGAATAAAAAATAAAAAATAAAAACCTATATGATTTGGTTGGCATAATAAGACTTGATTAAAAATTCATTTATAACCTATTAATTTTTTTTACTAAAACAATATTATTGTAATTTTTCTTAAAAAAATTAACCTAAATGATCTAATGACTTGATTAAAACACAATGACTCGATTAAAACTCAATAACCCCGTTAAAACCTAAAATTCAGGCTTTAAACCAGACCTGCCACCTAGCCGGGCTGAAAACCATTGTCATGAACCATACCTGGCGAGCAGCCATCAGTGTCTAAAGGGATAGACATATTTTCGATCACCAAATTCAATCCAAAAGGACGTAATTAAATCATAACATTAATTAAAGGTAACCTCACATACAAGTCTGGAATAATTAACGCAGAAAACTTCATTAGAGCACCATCACGAAGCTAGCAATATTTCAAAGAGCTTTCCACTGGAGAAGAACTGTTTTTTATTTGACTAGAGGGCTGCCATTAATGTATGCTTCTCAAGAATTTAAATATATATATATATATATATATCTTCTCAAGAATTTAAATATATATATATAAAATTGAAAGGGTGGCCGGCAGATCTAGATTAGAGTACTTCTTCCTTTCTATCTACTGTTAATCTCAAACCCTTATCCCATGAATGTGCTCATCGAGACAGTCAACAGGTGATCTGCCCACCTCTACCCCCAACTAATCTTCCATTTGTGCCAGTAATCCAAGATTTAAAAAAAATTAAAAAAAAGAAGAAGAAGAAGCATTTTCGGGATGTAAACAGTGCAACAGTACTGATGCTTCAATGATTTGATGTTTGATGGTTTCAGAATATTTAGTAGATAAAAAATTATAAATACTAATTATAATTAGTTTTAATGATACATGACAGGGCTAAACTGTTGATGCTCACCGGCTATCTCGTCTTAAAAAATCTTAAGCTTTATTCTATGCGCATCAAAACCACCCCGACGGAGGCCCCCTTCTACACTCAGCCTTCTTTCGGCTTTTGTCTAATACAATATAGGAAACGATCTTTCCTTTTTCTAATTCCTCCACTCCTTAATCTGAGCAGAGTAACAATTCGCCACAGACAACATATTGAAAATTGAACATATAGTACTTTTTTTTTTATTTTAGACAATTGATTAAGGGTTATACTTAAACCCATTATAAATGATAAATGAGATTAAAAATATATTAAAATAAACCATCTAATATAATGGTCTAATAATAAAAAATCAGGATAAAAGATATTGTTTTTTTGTGATTGTTAATATAATGATTATTAGATATTTATATGGTGATTAATTTTAGGGGGCTTGAGGGTTTCATTGAATGTATACAAACTAATCTGGATATCCATATATATATATATATATATTAAATAATTTAAAAATATTTTAAGAAATTAATTTTAACAAATCTAATGTTTGAGCTGCACTTACAAATAAAAAAACTTAAATCTTACACACCGTAACCAAATTTATAAAAAGCATTTTTTCCCCCTTAAATAATAATAATAGTAATAAAAAAAAGGGAACCCACATTGTTTCTATTCTTTTCCGACACCGTAACCAAATTTATAAAAATCATTTTTTCCACCTTAAATAATAATAATAATAAAAAAAAAAAAGGGAACCCACATTGTTTCTATTTCTCTAATGTACAAATAACTTCACATTTCTTTCAAAATTAAAAGTTATCTTTCACTTAATTCAACGGAAAAGAAAAACTTTAGTATAAGCTTCTCGTACCTTTTGATTTGCCTTTCTCCTTGATGTTTTTCTCCACTCTCATTGGAATTTAGATCCTTTCCTAAGTGTATATTATCTTTTTAGATCATATTGTGGTTATTTTCAAATCATCAAAATTAAGGATATAATTGATATTGGATCTCCCGAGACAATACAAATCAGACAAGATAATAAATGATTTTTATTAACAAAAGCTAATAAGTCTTTAAAAAAATATTATTTATGCATATTTATAAAAATTATTCATCAGAATAGTATAATGATGAATTTACTAAAAAATCACTGAAATACCTATTAAAAGCATAATGACAATGGTCATTGCACAAAGCCTATTTAATCACTATCATATTATTTAGGGGTAAGCTTATTTTTTTTCATTTGAGAATTACAATGAAATAACTAAAATTTCATTGGATGTAGGAAAATTTAAATGAGTGCATGGGTGCTTTTATCTTTTCATATGAGTTTTTTTAATAATTATTGAGTTGGGTAAATGGTAATTTGATCTTTGAATAAATATAAAATAAATATTTTTTTTAAAATATAATTGATGTATATGCTAACATGTGAGAGACACCTATACTTTAGACAATATCTCCTACTTGTTAAAAATCAGCTTCTTCCATGTCATTGAAAGTGTCACAATTTTCTCTTCCTGTTAAGACGACACAGTAACGTCAATAACCTTTATTTTTTCTCATTCCACTTTTCTCTCTCCTCACCTTAAAAGTCGCGTTGTCCATGTAGAATTTTATAATTGTTCTTTTATTTATGGGAAGTCAATTTTAATCCTTATTATTTTTATTTTTAATTTTTGTTGTTATCTCTTTATACAATTTTGAATTGTTTTCAATTAAATACTTCAATTCTAGTTTTTAATATGTTATTTTATCCAATTTGATCTTTATTCTTTTAATTCTTTTACCTTTTATTAAATTAATTGTTCTTTTCAATTTCACCATTTAATAAAAAAATTATTTTAATTTTGATCCTTATTCTTGTATTTTTTTTTATCATTTTGTTCAATTATTTTTTTCAATTTTACCCTTCAATAAAAAATAAAACTTATTTTGTATTTCAATTTTGATAATTAATTTTTAAATTTTGATTTTTGATTTTTGATCCTTTTATGTAATTGATATTGTTTTTCCAAGTTAATCATTCAAAATTTAATTAGTTGAGAATTGAGTTTCGTGGTTTTTTTAGATGAGGTGCTTCCAGTCTAATGCTCTAAATCATAGGTTTGAAAAGTTAACACTGATTGACATTATTTTTTTACTTATTTTATTTTTAATCGTGTGATTTCTTATGTTTTTTTTACTAGGTTATTTTGATCTCATGACTTGAACCACGGGTTTAGCGGATTAACTCAGGGTGGCTCACTTTTTATTCCTCGAGTTACAAGCTTGTCAAGGTAACTTGGATTGAACCAAACCTCCTTTTATATATATATATTCAATTTCATCCTTTTGTATTTAATAAGCTGAGAATTGAGTTATATCAATTATCATCATTATTGTTTTTTTAATTTGATTTATTTAATATCATTATCTATTTTTATCATTCTATTAAAATAAAATAATTTATTTGATTGAGGTTTATAACCCGAGTTGTAGATTTTTTTTTTGTAAAGCATGGTTGCACATAAAAGAGCCCTGTCGCGTAGCACACGTAAACTTGGCTTGATGGTTAACCCAACCCAAGGCTCGAATCACAGGTTTTGCTCGGATCATCGGGTTTTGATCGAACCATCTAGGTCAATTATATTTTTTTTATAAATCAAAATGATATTATTTTAGTTAAAAAATAAATATCAAAGAGTTATAATTGGATTTTTAATAGAATCTTATAAAATCATCTAAATTTTTAATTTAATTTAATTTTTTAAACTTTGTTTAATTCCAACCCTGTATCGACCCATCAGCAATTTTAAACCTCCAAGCACACGTACACATTTAGTTATTTACCATGTCAAGAAAATAATAAAATATTTATGTACCATGGGATTTTGGACAATTTGGTGGCTATTTGTTACTTTAGGAATTAATGAAGTCGTTCGATACACGGAACTTGACAAGACAAAAGAAATGATCTGTGAAACTCATGTGCCCCCATGAGATAAGAAAAAAAATTTGGTTTTTGTGATGATTTTCATCAATACTCGTTCCCCTTGTTCTGCTATCTTATGGGATAAAACTTACCTAAACATTCCCTCCCAATTAGTTAATTTTATTATCTTAATAAACAAACAAATAAATAAAATAAATAATTGTTTTTGAAAAATAATAAATATTATTTCAAACCAATTTCAAAACTGTTTTTTATTTAAATTTATTACATCAAAATATATAAATAGAACAATAATCTTATCTATAAAAAGCAATGAAATATATCTATAAATCAAATAATTGATTTTCTTATTTACCAAACCTATAAAACAAACAATTCAATGAAAAAAATGTGTGGTTTAATAAGAAAAAGAAAGAAAGAAGATAAATTAATTATTTTTATTTATTGCTTAGAAAAAGACAGGATGACTAGTTGTTTTGTATCCTTTTCCTTGCAATCCAGTCTCATCCTACAGTTTTACTCAGCACACTAAACACGCCCTAAAAGATATAGCAGCTGCAGATTAAAAATATAAACAAAAACAAAGAAATAAATAAATAAATAAAAACCCACTGAGAAGAAAGCCAGCCCTGGATTGGATAATGCAAAGTAGGAAAGGCGATCTCATATCTTGGCCGGTTTGAATTTTGGTGTGCTGGGGTCATACAGGTTATCAATGGCATGTGGAAGAGTGAAAAACCATCCAGTAGGGAGGGACCTGTAGCAGTCTGTAATCAACTTTTGATAAAAATCACTGAGGCCCCATGCATGTATCAGGACAGGCTTTTATCTGTCTAGTTGTGGAGTCATGGACCTGGTGTTATGAAGCTTCTTCTGCATCTTTCATCATGAGTGGAGAGAAAGAACAAGAAATCTGAATAGTGACAAAAGGTTTCCAATATAAGATTTTTCTTTGATAGCTTTTTGCTCGAAGATTGGTGAAGAGTGACTAATGGTTACTGGGAATGAGAAGAGACAGCAGAGCAGGCAACAGCCTCTTGCAACAAGCAACACCTATCTATCATAAAATGCTGCCTCAGCACGTCCAAAATTTATCACAAAGAAAGGAGAGATACACACTCGGAAAGAAAAGAAAAAAATCTAAACATTTCAGCGGAGCGTACAGCTTGGTGGTGGATTCCATCTCCTGGTTACGTCACAAAGAAAGCAGAGATACACACTACAGGAAAGAAAAGAAAAAAATCTGAACATTCCAGCCGAGCGTACTGCTTGGTGGTGGATTCCATCTCCTGGTTACTTTGATCTTTGTCCCCATCTTTCACATCTGCATTTTTTTTTCCTGCTTCATGTTTCTCAAGCAAAGCCCGTGTTTGCACGACCTTCATCGATTTCTCCTCCCCTTCAAGGTGTTTCTTCATTATAAACTCAGCTTGCTTGTCGATTGGCTTAAAGTAATCTTAAATGAGGCCTCCTGCACATCAGTAGGATGTTATTCCAATCTTGGATAGAATCAGACTAAGAAATGTCATTTGTCAGCACAAAAGCATAAATACAAAGCTTACATTCAAACAATCAAACCAGTAAAAATGCATCACTGAATAGGAAAGCACCAGGATCATGCTCCAGCAAAAGTAATCTCTAAAAATAGCTAGTTTTCAATTTGAGTAAAGGTCTATAGATATACTGAGACATTGTAAAGAGGAGGGAGGGCTCTTTAAGGGATGGAAGATGAGGTAGTGTTGTGGACACCATATGTCAGGATTGAGATAAAGATGAACTGGGAAACAGCATGGAGGAGGAGTCGGAGAGATTCTTTTCTCCCTGACTCAACACTGCTACGTTTCACAAAATTACCTTCCTTGAAAACCACACCCCATCAACACTCCTTAACCCCTTCCCTTTCGGAAAACTCACCTCACCCATATCTTGTCTTCCAATGGACAGTGTCTCCCGCATATCACACAATGTACATTCTATCTCACTAAGATCCTCGCCCCCATACCTCTTCCTAGTCAAACCCAATCTCTGGTTGGGCATTGGTTGCACTACTATTGTCTCTCTTTACCAAAATTAAGACCCCAGAAGTCCACAGCATCAAGATTTATATGGGAAGAATTATTGCACTACCCTTTCTCTCGTGTGCCTATACTGAGAGAGAGAGATCTCATTAAAATGGAATGTAATGTGGAAACAAACTCATTGAGATTTCAGAACTAAAGGTGAGTGCAGTATACAGGAACTGGTTAAAACATAAAATTGCTAGAATAGGATAGAGAAAACAAAAGAAAAATGAAAAAAGGAAGGATATGAAGTATGAAGTTTCGAGTCAAAAAGCAAACAAACCAATAATATTTTGCTTGCTTAAATAGGATCATCAATGGAGCTTGAGCCTAGGCGCTGTGGGTGCATCCAACGTCTCTTGGGTAGCTAGAGCGTTGGACTCACATTCTAATGCTATCCTAGTTCTCTTTGAGCCTCACTTTGTGACATGAGTCTAACCATTTTTTTTCTCCTCATGTTTGTGTCTATGTATATAAAGATATTTGTTTTTTATTAAAAATTATATTTGAAAAATTTACCCCTCGTTAATACATATATAAAATATTATAATAGAAATAATTATCTCTGGTTAATACATGAGTAAAGAATACTTATATTTTATTAATGCTATTAAAGCAAAATGACTTTTTAGTTTCTTTAAACAAAAATAAAAAAATTTATAAATTATAAATACTCCTTGAAAACAAAATGACTTTTTAGTTTCTTTAAAAAAAAATAAAAAAATTTATAAATTTATAAATTATAAATACTCCTTGAAATGTTTCTAATTTTTGTTATCAATATACAGATATTATTTTTTTATAAAATTTTTATTCTCATACTAAATTAATAACAAACAACCTTGTTATTAGATTTTAATACTCTTTTATATATTTATTATATTTTATATAAAAATACTAATTTAAACATCTGCTGGACCCTAAATCCATCAGCAAGGAACTTTTGTTGTAGGCATGAAAAGTATTATATTATATCAAGTTATAACCTCCAAAATGGATGTAATTTTGAGAACATTTAATTAACTCATAATTCAATAACTAAAAAATCATATTTATAAACATTTTAAATTTTATAACATCATCACCCAGGTTTGCTTACTATTGAAAGAATAATAAAATCAACAACATACACAATAAAAACATTATGCAAAGATAGGAAGAGCGTAGATTTAGATTTAAAAGAAAGAAAGAAAGACTAGAACCGATTGTGCATCTTCAATTTCTAAGTTTTTAACAAAGATGTCTTTATCGGGTGGTAAATTCCTATTTTTACTCTTGGTTTGTTGGGAAGTAATAAATCAAGAAACCAGAAAAACATAATCAAGAATTTGATTAACATGACTTTTGATTTTAAATCACAATCTTAAAAACTGTTTTTATAAATAACTTATAATAAAAATAAGTTCAAATAATTTTAAGTCGCAACTTGTTTGATAAAAATATTCAAAATAACATTTTGAAGAAAAAAAAGTACTGTATTAAATTAAAATCTATGAACTTCCATTATTTTTAAATTAAGATTTTGATTTAATTCTATAATAATTTTTTTATTCAAGTATAAATTATTTCTACAAAATCACATTATGACCTTTTTAAGTAAAAAAATTAAAGATTAATTTACAAAAATCGTAATTCCTTATGATTTTTATAAATTAATTTAAACTGTTTCTTGACTTGAGAGATTATAGATGTAATTGATTAAAAATAACTTCTAACTTAAATAAAAAATTTGATTAAAAAATTTAATTTAATAAAAAACCAATATAAAAAAATCCACCTTGCCACGCATTGTTTTAACTCAAAATCATTTTCTTTTATGAAAAAAAAGAAATTAAAATATCTCGAAATAAAAAAATATAATTTAAAAACTATTCAAATAAACTCAAGTAATGAGTTTTTAATGAAGATGAAATAGAGATTCGAGTTGAATGGCATTAAATTACTCCCATGCCACTCGTCCGTCCCTCTTCCCACTCGTGTTTTTCTTTGAACTCACAATTCTATTTGATGTCAGATTTATAGCTCAAGTTGGGAAAAAAAAAAAAAAACAAATGCACAGGTGTAAAATAGAATTTGCAAAATGAGGAGACAGTCTCAAACACCAAGATGCACAGTAGTAGCAGTAAAGCCTCCAACTCCAGTCACCATCTTGTAGGCAAATTTCAAGCATTTGTATAAAACCAGGCATACGACTAGTTACAAGTTCAAAATATTAACATCGATTTGGTTCAGTCAAGAAGCAGAGAGCTGGGTTCATATTACATAAGCAAGTACAAAGTCAGGTTCCACTCAAATTCAATCTCTTCTCTTCTTCTTCTTCTCCTTCTCAGTTGAATTCTTCAACTGCACATCAAACAGATAATTTATCAGCTAATGGAATATGATAACAGAAGAAAAACTGTAAGGCATTGATGATGGCTATTCAATCCGGGCATTTCAGTTCAACTTACCATGATTATGAGAATTCGGACAAAAACAGCAACGAAGTCGGTGAAAAGGCTCAGGGAATGCTTCACATAGTCCAGATCACCAAGGTGAGCTTTCTCAATGATATCCTGGGTGTCAACTACCACATAGCCCACAAACACCAGAAGCCCAAAGTACAGCTGTGAACATTATCAAGACCAGAATAACAAGCTGTTAGAATCAGGCAAAAAAAAGCAGCTAAACATGAACTATAAAAAATGATCATGAAAAATTTCATAGCCAGAGATACCCTACCTCAAATTTAAAGAGGGCTGCAGATCCCCCAAAGATGGAGGATGCAAAGTGCAGCCATAGAAGGATGGAAAGGCCAGATGAAAGCAAGCCACCCAAGTAAAGATATTCTCTACGCCTAGCCAACATAGCTGCTACTGAGAAACATCCAAAGGCCACCGCAGTTCCCACAAAAGCTGTAATCAGAACACTGACGGAACGAGAAAAGCATCCACATATCAGTGCTGTGCACCCCATCATCATGCTAAAAAGGGCTACATAAGCATAATTGTCCTAGCAAAAAGAAATGTATCTAAAGGGTATCGTGCAAGCAATGGGCCTCCAAATGGAAAGACATCATTCCAAGCACGATAAGTCTCCTAGTACCATCGGACTCACCTAAACCAACTCATTCAGTGAGTGACCACACAACCGCCATCACCAGAGAATATCACCATTTTACAAATACACTAATTGCAGAATGTCAAAAATATGCACACTACCATCCATTTTACAGCTAAAACCCAGACTTTATTGTTTGATACCTATATAAACATACACACGAAAATCGTCGAAGTGACATGTACCTTGGATCAATCTGAATGGCCAGATCAATCAGAGGACCGATAGAAGCCCCTTCGAGGAGTGCAGTTGCCATCAAGAGAGCAACCCTCTTTTGCTGCTCATGAAAAAAAACGAAAAAAAGAAAACACAAACACCAAGAAGAGAAACCGGGTCAGTACCAGAAAAATGAATATGGACCGCACCCGAAGGAATAAAAAAACCATAGAAAAGACCAAACAATACCTCTTCATAAGGAGATATGGAAAGTAGCCAAGCCATGCATCCCAAGCATGCGAAAGTCGTTAAGAGACCACCAATATTCCACAGAATATGGAGGTATGCCCCAGCGGCAGATGCAACCAGTGCACAACATAAGGTCAGATAGACCTGCAAGTTTAACAAGTTTAGATCACGAACCAAGAGATGTGAAATCGATTTCCAATTTTTCAAGAAACCCACCCACCTCGCCTGGTTAATTAATAAAAAGACCCACAAATCCGACGCAAATTTGACATAAAAGCTCCGCCTGGTTAATTAATAAAAAGACCCAAGAAATCCGACGCAAATTTGACATAAAAGCTCGATTATTCTCAAATTATTATATCATAATTGTCCCTATCACACGAATATTGATGGAAACCAAAAAGACGTGTCCAGGGAAAAAAAGAGTTACCTGCTTGAGATGATTCTGGACAAGAGGAGAGATCTGGCGTAAGTTCTTGAGAGAATCGTAGCTCCAACGGTTCCTTGAAGCCGATTGAGAGTCAAAGAAGGAAGCGAAGGCGTCCATTGATTGGTGTTAGAAAAGGTCAAGTGATCGAATCTTGTTGTGTCTTCGAGAATTGCCTTGTGCTTTGCATTATATATGTGTGCGGGCGTGTCCGGTTGCAGTTTGCTTCGTGGAAGTTTCTGGTGACCGAGTTACGATATTGCCCCCTTGTTTGATGCACCCAAGTTACAATTCTGTCCCTCTTGGAATCCTTGCAGCTGTCATTTTTTGTATCGCTTCCACCTGACCCCGGATCGATGCTTTTATTTGTACTTTAATATATAAATAGTGATTTATTTGTAATTTATTCTGTATTATTAATAAAGTTACTATTTACAAATATCACCGCACCATGTATTGAACATTGTACTACTCTATTTGTACTTTGGACATAAATAAAAAAACTTTGATCAAAAGCAAGCAGGGGAAATGGACAGAGGGGCATTTAAGGAAATCAGGTCATTATGGGAAGGTCAGGGTCAACGCTTGAGCGATGGGGACAAGCAAGAGATCTTTCTCTAATAAACATCGCTTCGTCGCCAAGCAAAAACCTCAACCCCGCTGTATTTTACTACACTAGCCTTCGTCAAATGCTACGTCCTCCAACCAATAACATCTTGCCACGTCATAAAAACGGAGACTGCAGAGCACATAACCACCATCAACATTAATATTCCCGTTAACAATTAAAAAAAAAAAAAAAAAACTAAATGATGTCCTCTCAAGCCACTATGAACTTCACTAATAAAGCAGGTTTGGGCCTTATATTTGAACTTCTTTTTGTTTTGATCCTTTAGTATGTGGAAAAGCTTTACTGTATTTTTCTTTCATGGTTTCTTTTTTGTTTTTTTTTTTTTTTTATTATTATTATGGATTTGAGATTCCAAGCCCTATTTATACAGATTAGGTATTTCTATTTCTTTTGGGGAATTGAGCCGTTTCATGTATTCTCTCTTCCTGTCTTGATTTGTAATAAAAGTACCAACTCCCCTTTTATTTTCTCTTTATGCTATTGTTCATGTTATCAAATCTTTAGGTTTTGCTTATTTATTGTTCTGCTGATATTCCTTTTATTTTCTTTTTTTATGATTTCCAAGGATCAAGTTTTTAGCCCTTTTATATAGGGATTTTGCAATTTCAAAGTTTATATTAATTGTCAGATTGTGATTATAAAATATGAGAACCATGATGTACATATAAAATAAACAAAGCTAAAATTATATTAATAAAAAACTTGATTTAATAACTATTTTAATTAAAAATTGAAATTATAGGATGAAAGACTCTTACTCTTTAATTATAAAGAATCAATAACTTAAAATATAAGGATGAATGTCATAAAAAAAATATCATTGATAAGTTCTAAGGAGTTTAATGAAGAATCAAGAGTATAAAAAATTTTGCCGCACATAAAATATTATTTTTAAATAATAAGCAATTTCTAAAAAAAAAATCCTTAATATAAGCTAAATAACCTTATTTAATTCTAGGTAAAGCATCATAAAAAAAAGCTAAATAAAATTCTAAATAAAATAAAAAATAATATTAAATCAATTAGAAAAATAATGCAATTCTCATATAATATCTTCTAGGTCACATCTTAAAGTCTTCTCGAACTCTAATTGTTACGAAATCTTAACTTTATAAACTAAAGGCCTCATGAATCTTCTATAAAACTTTTAGCATAATCTAAAGGTTAGATAGAAAGTTATCTGTATTGGTGTAAAATTATGCATTAAGAAAATTAAGCTTAGAATCACCTCTTTTTGTCTAACCAAAAAGCTACCAAGATTTCTTAGTCGATCCATAAGCTACTAGACTTTCTCAACTCCTTTTCTTGTGTTGATTATATTAAGTAAAGCATGATTATCTTTTGAACTCGTCTTGATGCTTAGCTTCACCTAAATATTTTGAATTACACAATTAAATGCCTTTTTAATCTTCTTGGCTCTTGACCTTGTAATATGCCTAATTAAAATCTCTAATAGATCATTTAGTGATGCTTGTTGATTCATATTGTTCTCTCTCTCCTCTAAAGAATTTGATCTTCAATTATTTTTATCCCCTCTAGGCTATAACTTAAATCTTTTATAAGCTTGAAATTTTTCCTTACATATATACTTTCAGACTCAATCATCTGGTTCAAAAATAATATGTTGGATAGCCTTTATTAGATTTAAATGTATATTATTCTTTTTTTCTCTCAATATATTGCCAAACACTCTCATAAAGTGCTTTTTAACTACTATTAAGACTAACTCTTTCATCAATAAGTAAATAAATCAAATCCAAATAATAATGAGTTAAAACCATAAATAATTTTAAATGGTAAATGATTAATAGTGGAATGCACACTCCTATTATATGCAAATTCATTGAATGACAAATAATCCTTTGAATTTTTCATATTCTTTTAAATGAAAATACACAATAGAGTAACTAAGTCTTATTTACTTTTTTTTATTTGAACATTTGTTTATGGATGACATATAGTCGAAAACAATAACTTAGTTTCTAACTTTCCCATTAAAACCTTTTAAAAGTAGCTAAGAAATTTAGCATCTTAAAAGACATATATATATATATAAAAGAACCCATACCCCTTTGACCTAGATAAACCTAAAATAATACATAGAAATACCTACCCAGTATTTTTTAGGCACGAGTAAATAATTATATAACTTATATAGGATGATTTTAGATTTTTCTTACCTATACATGACACATCTATCACACACCCTTTGTGCATCACATTTCATTTTGATCTAATAAAAATGCTTTTACAAAACTTCTAAAATCTTTCTAGTACCAAAGTATACCATTAAACTATCTCTTTAAGCTTAACACATAAGTAGTTTCGCATAGAATTATCACGCACACAAAGTTTATTCTTTCTAAGTAAATAACTATTAAGTCTATAAAATTTACCTCTCACAAACATTATACAAATTAGCAAAATCATTATCATTGGGATACAAATCTTTAACATACTCAAAACTTAGTAATTTCATATTCAAAGTATAAAGAAGAATGTACCTCTTAGATAATATATTTGTCACTATATTATCCTTACCTTACATATACTTAATCATATATGAAAAGGTTTCAATGAGTTCTACACATTTGGGTGCCTTATATTCAACTTATCACATCATTTCAAGTGTTTTATTGACTCGTGATCTAAATGGATAATAAATTCTTTCAACTATAAGTAATGTTTTCAAGTTTTCAAAGTCTTCATGAATATATAAAGATCTTTGTCATAAGTTAGGTAATTCAATGTTGCTTTATTAAGCTTTTCACTAAAAAAAGGTAATTGGTTGCTTTTCATGCATCAAAACAACTTCAACACATATTTATGAGATATCATACTCAATTTTAAGCTTTAGAAAAATAAGGTAATGCTAATAAAGATGATGAACATAGCCTTTTATGTAAAAGCCTATTATATTTTAATATGAGCAAGAACAATAATAATAATAGTAGTAGCAGTAAGAGGAGTGGTGGCGGTGGCGGTGGCGGTTGTGATAGTTGTAGTTGTAATGGTAGTTATAGTGGTAGTAGTAATAGTCCTGGTAATGGTTATGATAGTAATTGTAGTGGTAGTAGTTGTGGTGGTGGTGGTGGTGGTAGTAGTAGTAGTCGTAGTAATAATTGTTATCATAGTCGTAGTCATAGTGGTAGTGGTAGTCATAGTTGTAGTCGTGGTAGTGGTGGTGGTGGTGGTGGTAATCATGGTAGTGGTGGTTAATAAATAAATAAATAAGCAAGCAAACATTTAGAGGTCAAAATTAAACAAAAGAAAGTTATAAGGCATTAATTTATTGAGAAAAAAAGGATGGTGACATATTTGAAAAATACTAAAAAAAAGGGGTCAATGTGCAAAGTTAAAAGATGAGACTATATAAATGCTTATCTTTTCTTCTTTTAGCCAATGGCTAAAAACCATAAAAAAAAGGATAAGATTTGTATGATTTTTAGTTGTTTCCTTGCAAATTATATATATAAAAAGTGTAATTAGAGTGATTAGCACTTAAAAAAAAGAATTAAGAGGGCTGGTTTAATGCTTGAAACTTGTTTTGAAGAAAGAAATCTAAAGGTAGGGTTTAAAAAGAAAGAATAAGAAAACTTAAATTTTTCTTGCATCCATTCTTTTCAACTTTATCCAAGTAAATTGAAGAACATGATTAAAATGATTAATTATTATAATTTTTTGTTTTGATGAAGAAATTAAATTGTTATGATTATATGAATTTGAGGATTTATAGTGTTGATTATTGAAATAATGCAATTTATGATTGAACTATATTAGGAAGCATAAATTATTAATGGATAAGTGTTTAATTTAGAAATGGAAGAAACAAACCCCTCCCTTTTTTTTTTATTACGGGTCTCGGCAAAAGGTGAAGTTTTGGGAGATTGAAGAATTTAATGCAATTGTTTAGGAATTGTGGAAATTTATAGACTTATAAATGTTAATAAATGGAATGGTGAAGGATGTTACAAAAATAAAATATTCACCCTTTTTTCTTGAAGGAATTTCAGCCATGACATATGAAAAGGAGAAAAAGAATTTTAACTTAGATTTTTGTTAATGTAAAAGAGTGATTTTAGATAAATCGGATGAATTGTTGGAGAATTAGAAAGTTAATTTTATGGAGGGTTAAAAAGGAAAATTTTATTCTTCTTAACTTAAAATGAAATGAAATTTTTATCATTTAGTTATGAATAATAATTGATATGTTGATTTTTATATTGGTACAGAAGAGGTAACAAAATCTAATTAGCAACAGAGGACCGCTTCACGTCTACAAACACTAGGTAGGTGTTAAATACCCCCATAATAACTTAATTGTTTAAGTTAGTATTTTAGAAGAAATTTCCTTTGATTGTAATTTTAATATAGAAATTATGAAATAAAAATAATGAAAATAATGCCTTGTTAAATAAATGAGCATGTCGAAAGAATATTTTCTAGTTAATGAAATTAATGCCCTGTTAAATAAGCATGTTGAAAGATTATTTCCTGATTAATGAAAATAATACCTTGTTGAAATGGACACATTAGTTGAACTATTTCCTTTTCTTTCTTACTTATTTGAACTTCAGATATAACATACTAATTAATGGACAACCTGAGAAAGTCATATTCTAATTAATGAAGAAGATATCTAGTAAAAGATTGACAAAAATAAAATTTAAATTAAATTAATATATTGACGATAAGTACTTCATTTAGTGAGATAGTATATATATTATTGTGTATGCTTCAAATAGTTCTTATTTAAATTATGTATTATTAATAAGTATAAATTTTCTAGTTTTTATCAAATATTCACATACTATATAAATATGTTGTTTGGTACATCACATCTTCAAGCTAGAAAGTAGAAGCATAAATGAAAATCCTTATTAAAGTTAATTTTTGTATTGGAAATATTGATATTATGTTTTATATCATCTGTATGTTAATAAATTTTAAAATGATTAAATTATTCTTTTACCATGTATGTAATTAAGAACAATGTCCTTACTTTAAATGGTAATTGGTAATATAGTTTTGTTGTATTTATATTTGAATGTGTTTGTATCCTAAAAAATTAATGTTATTATAAATAAATTAGCTTTAAATATTGTATTTAAAATCATACAATGTTAACTATATAAAAAAATAAAACTACAAGGGACATGAAAATTGATGTGTTTAGTAGAGTTGCAATGCTTATTTATATTAGAATGAGTTTGTAGTTATTATTTACAGGTTTTGATTTTGAGTTGATAACTTGATATTAAAATAAAAAAAAGACTTTATTGAAATTTTTAGAAAATATTTACCTGAAAAAAGACCAATAAACTCTTTTAAATAATTTTTTTTCAAGCCTTAGCATTTGTTTTTAGAAGATTAAATGCATGTTTTTGTTTATGATCCTATTTAAAGCTAATAGACTTCTTAACAACCTTAAAATGTTAAAATCCTTAACAAATCTCCTATAAAGACTACCAAAATCATGAAAGCTTTTTACTTTGGTAATTTATTTAGACATGGATTATTCTTGAATAATTTTCACATTTTACTCATCCATTTTTATTTTTTTTACTAATAATATAACTAAGAAAAACAACTTTTTTCATGCAAAAAATACACTCCTTGAGATTAACATGATTTTCTTTCTCAAAACTTCAAGCATGCAACACAAATGCTTCTTAAGTTTTTTTTTTTATTTCTAGGTTTTTTTTTATCCTTCAATTTTTTCATTTGTTTTTAGCATTCAATTTTTTTTTTATCCTTAGTTTAATTATGAAGGGACAATAATATAGTATATTTAATCATGGAAACATATATAACATATGCATATATTGCCATCTATTTTTATTTTTTTATATCAATAAGCATTCTCTTGTGTTCCCATCCCCTTTTTTTTCTTTTGATAACAACTCTTCAATATTAAAAAAAAAAAACTAACATTATTTATGAAAATTTACCTGGTTATATGAAAACTTTCACACAATTTAAATTTAAACTAGAATTAGATAAGAAGTTGGATCATGAGGGTTTTTTTGTTAATTTTATTTTTTTCTTTCAATTTTTTTCTTAAATTTTTTTACTAATCAATTATTATCTTTGGACCAATCAAGTTGACTAAATTATATCTAAATAACTTTCACATGAACTATCACATGATTAATTTTAAACTCAAATTTGACAAGTGTTGAATTGAGAGATATTGAGATTCACCTACTGCGTTGGATTTAACAACAATATCAAATAATTCTCTATAATTTAAATATTTTTTATTATGTTAAAAAAATAAAAATAAAATTAATCCAACACATAACTTAGCATGACTTAGCATGGCCTGTAAAATAATAATAACCAAATGTATTGTGAATATATTTATAGTCATTAATTGTCAATAATGATCTTTCTAATTTCCAAGTTTACCATGTACATCACAGATGCATTCATTGTCAAGCCAGAAAAAACCTCAATTGCTTCTCTGGCAACACACGATGCAAATTAATTGCATCAGATTTGAGTTTGATGAATTTCAAAATCCTATTCATTAATCACACAAATTTTGATATTAATTAGCAAGCACTTTAATTACCATTCCACAATGATATTAGATAAAGCATCTAAATCATTGAATCAGATCACATTCATTCAATTGTTTTTTTTTTTTTTTGTATATATAGCTATTACATTTCCTATCTTAATATATGCACTCATTAATATTTAAACTTTCGTTCATTGTTATGCTTAAATCAAAATACTCATTGTCTTATATTTAAAAAATTTAATTTTAAAAAATTGAATCAAGATTTTCTTAAAAAAGTCTATTGTTCCATATTAATTTCTCACATTCTTTTTCTCAGAAAACCTAAAATTACGCATACTTGAAGATCTATTGCAATCAACTTTTTCAAACAAAAGCGTCATGTAGAAAGCCTACTTGGAATAAAACGAAGCCCTCTATTAGCCGTATCTTCCATTTTCATTATAAGCTCTAAAATTAAAGAATTAATTAACTCTTATAAAACACGTAGATTTCATGCACATAAAATTGTAAAAACCTCTCAATTAACTATCATATTTATTATTGAATTTGTATATATAAGAATTTCTTAAATGTAACAATTTTAAACTCTTGTATAGCCTTATTACACTTTATAAAACAAGTATATTATAACTTAGCCTCTCTGTTTTTTATAATTTTGTATGTTAGGTCTTTCTGTTTTTGAAAATCAAAAGTTAGTACCATGAACAGAGTTGACTATTATTAGTATTATTGAGATTTTTAAATATCCCTTTTTAAATGAGTTTTTAATTTTGTCTAGAGTAGATAAGATCTAAAATCTTGATAACAAATGAAGATATTTTAGGTAATAAAACAATTTAATTGTGATAATAATAATAATAAAAAAAAAACAACTAAAGCACATAAGTTACGATCAAATATGAAACAAATGACTCAAATAATTATTTCATTCAAAACACAAGGATTAAATAATAATTTACCATTCTAAAAAATTGCAATTAATGTTTCCAAGCAGAAAACATTGGTCGCATTTGTAGGTGATTGCTTGTACATGTAATAAGAGCCCAAAAAAACAGCACAAAATACATCAGATATAGATTCTGAAACAATTATCAAAACCTTCATATACGTCTCGTTAAATCCCGATCTTATACATTTTTCCTATGACAATTGACATAAAAACTATCAAGGAACAATTATTATTTATTAATGATAGCACACCACCTGAAAACAATCTTTATTCCAGTTGGTTCAGAAAAAAAGGTGGCATCGCTTCACATGGAACGGAGCTACAATTGAAAAGGTATTCTGGACACGTCAGAGCAGGAAGGCAGCCATATTTTCTTTTCTGGAAATAAAGCGCTTGTGTACAATTATATATTTCATTCTCGAAATCAGTCAAGGTACAACGCGCGTAAAAGATTTTACAATGGATAAAAAGGACAAGGACAAGCTTCCAAGGGGATTACATTTACTCTCTTACAAGCAGTAGAATAAGCAAATATCCTATCGAAAAGATATGGGTAGATGGTTAGCCTAAATCAAATGGAGTCAAGAGGACATACCGTCCATAAATCTGATCAAGGTTGCCGTTGAGAAATCTTGATAGGTCTGGCAACGCCTTGTCCATGTGAAGGGGTTTTAGTTCGAGGGTCCAAGCTGTGTCCCTGCCTGATCAGCTTCTGCCTTCGAAGGCTCTCATTGCATGGAGCAAAGAACTCGTGTTTTAGAGCATCCTCTGCACTAATCCTCAATCTGGGATTCACTGTCAAGCATTTGTCCACGAGGTCAATAAGTGAGCTTGGGACTGCATCCAGGAAATCTTGTCTTTTTGAGTTCAGCTTGCACCATTCCCAAAGTGTCGTGGGTGGCAAAGATTGCATATTATACAGGTCCTGAGAAAGAATGAGCTCTTGAACATGAATCCATTTTCTTCTCATAATTCATGGAAGATCAAAACAAGTAATGGTAAATACCGCTGGGAATGAGGATTCTCGGTTATGTAGCTTTGAGACTTCCCACAGATCTTCACTGCCTCTTAACTTTGCTATGTCCTTTATATTCCTAATAACGACAGTAATATGGTTAGCAAAAGAGGTGGATGAAACGAAGCGCGCCAAACTTCTATTGGTGGTAAAAAAAAAAAATTGTTCTTACTGTTCGGGATCACCATAAAAGGGCGTTTTTCCTATTATCAGGTATAATAAGGTGACCCCAGCAGACCAAATATCAACCTTGGGCCCTTGATGGAGAGATCTCAACAAGACCTGCGTGAACC